ATGTTTAATACAAACCTGTCACCTGATCCAGATGATACACATCATACTCTGTTTAGTCAGAACTTCTGAATGGCAAAGAACTCTCTCCAATTTTTAACCTGTTCAATTTCACCTAAAAAGATCATTGTGTTGAGAAATTGGTGCATGTTCCACCAGGTTAACCGTGACTAGAATCTTAGGGCGCTTAGCCTGCTGGAATGCGAGAGGAAGCCACAATAGCCAATACTGAGGCTTAATTGATAGAATGAGTCATGCATATTAAATGATAAAAACCTTCAGGTCCACAATATCATATTAATATTGATCTCATGAATGGAGCAGTCTTATGCTATATCAGCATACACATAAAAAGGAAAAGGGGAAAAAAAGACCTTATGAGTCAAACTACTAAACCTTCACATCTCACGACTAAAACAGAAAAAATAAAAAAGAGAAAAACAAGAAAAGGATACGAATATTTCATGACACCGTAATACAATGTTCATTTCCACAAAACATAATTCTGTATGTATAAAAGCTAAAACGTAGCCAAAGTATTAAAATATCTCCCTGACATTGCTTTTCTATAACCATATATGCGAACGGACTAAAAGGCAAAAGACCACATCCCCAGCTGATCTGAGGTCTTCATAAGAAATATCAGATTCTTACAGATAACCCAGTAAGTCCTATAGAATTCAAGATTCATAAATGGTACAAAAAAAATAAATAAATCTCTCACCATTAGACCTAATAGTATTTTCCATAAGTGTTCCAAAAATTTGCCCATACAAAATCCTTTGTAAAGCTGGGCATCTAAATACCTCGGCTACAAAACCTGGGTTGATTTTTGTATATCAAGCCACGAGGAATTTAATAGATAGGATAACTAACCTAACTTGGGTTTGACTGCTTTGTGATGCCTGCTGGGGTTTGGGGGATTTTCTCCCCTTGTTTTTTTTTTAATGCAAACTGATCATGACAAATATAATAGGGCTGTAATGGATGGCCTCTGAAAATACTAGTTGAATGGCTGTAAAAACTAATACTGTGTTTGTATTAATGTACAGTATATGTTCCCGTTGGAAAGAATTGTCTCTTTGACTAAAAGTAGTTCTATAGGAAAAAAGAGGGATCCTCCCCATTGAAGATGTTCAAACCTTTCACCCATCTGTCCAGAACTGAAAAGGGTTTTGGTTTGAGTGCTAGCTTGATGATCACATTCATAAAAAACGGGTTACTATAAAACTTTGTATTCAATAAGCCCTATAGTTACACAATGTCTAGAACACAAATTTTTTTATTAATTTCAGTGGCTCCTTACTTATCTTATAACTTACACACTTGAGAAACTGGAAGGAAGGGAGCAATAGCCACACCTCCTCCACAATCAATTCTACTTCTTCGCTGCAAGTTAGATCACTTTTTCCTCCTTTGTTTTACATTGTTCTCCCTACACTGCACAATTTTTAGAAACAAGTCTGATGCCAAGTAATTTCAGCTTAAGCCTAAAGCCTTAATACAATGAACGTCTCTGAATCAGATTATGCTGGATAAAGGGCATACCACTGAAATAATACAAGTAAATTTCTGCTATCAGGTCAACACACTGGTCAGGTTATACTACACCCCCCAAACCCCCCCCCCCCCCCCCCTTCAGAAAAAAAAAAAAAAAAAAACACGTTGCATGCTCTCTGAAACAATAAGGACTGAAAGATATTAATTGCTTCTTTTGGAAATGAAAAAAATGAATAAAGATTTGTTAAAAAAAAATAGGATTCAGTGGCCGACTCATCATAAAATCCTTTTCTTGGGAGTCCATTGAAAGACACAGGAATTCTTAGACTGCAGATTTATTCTGCCCATGACCAGCCTACCTTGGTTTTGTAGCAAAATAGTACCAAGAGCATTCGAAAATACAGAGGAGAGGGACCTCTGTTCCTCAATGGACTCCAAGAAAAGGGGTTTACAGTGAGTACAAAAGTCCTATTTTCTTTATTGTCTATTGAGTGACAAAGCTTTAAAATGTAGGGAAGCCCAAAAACAATCCATCGGAGGGGTGGCAAAAATAGCAACAAGGCTAAGAGATCCAGGGAGAAAACAACAGAAAACTTAGAACTACCTGCAGCTCAAAGAAACACCTGGAGGACATAGCACTAAAAGCAAGAATCAGGTGAGGCCTGAACATCCATCTGGTAGAGCTTATCAAAAAGAACAGGTGGTAGCCCCAGCAATCCAGGAAAATGTCTTAATGCCAAAAAGACCAATAAACACTCACAGATCTAGTAGAGTGCACCTTGACAGGAAAGGGTGGAACCCAATCTTCAAGTCCATACATTTTGATGATGGTCTACTTGGTTTCTGAAACACGATAAACAGAACAGAAACCTAGCCCTTGATAGTGCTGAGATTTAAAGGTTGAACTAGACCCAGCTGTAGAAAGGAGAGAATTCATGCCATTAAAAACACTTAGAGGATGGAAGCCCTGAATCTCACACCAAGTCTGTATGTCTTTCATATCCGATGATGACCATACAGGAAGTAGGCTTTCTAGCTTTTTGCATTGTAGGATTTACATAGGAAATCCTTTCCTCACAAAACCTGAGCTTCAAAAGTCATGGGATTTGTAGTGCCAACACCTAAGGAGCTGCTGGATTTTGGGTCCCCCTTTGTTTGCACAGCCAGGCAACATGCATTTTCAGCAGGCACACTTAGTCAGAAAACCAATCCTTGGGATTGTTTTTATTGTGGGTATATAACTTTAATAGGGATAAGGGGTTATGGGATGCCCAAAGTGAATTCTACAGACTCAAAGGATAAATTCTCCATGTAAAACATGCAGCAAAAATGTACCCTAGACTGTACTCCCTCCAGAATTATGTCAGTCCTTAATGGATCACTAGCGAATATCCCATCAGCTTTTAGGAGCTCTATGTCCCCTTATTAGAAATAGCAAAGTTCAAATAGGGGAAAAATGACAGTGTGCTTTGTATGTTGCCCTGTTCCCTTCAATGGGACACAGGAGGGATGGGAGGGTTTGCAAAAGGTAAAAGGACTGTCCTGCAAAAAGGCTAGGCAGGTAAAAATGTATTTTTGGCGAAAAATAATTTGAATCTACATTGTAAATCTTCTAATACATTTCATGTTAATGTCCTATTTTTTTTGGGGGGGGCACATTATAACAATTTTAATTTACAGATTTTTAGGGACACCCTGTAATGGCCACTTCTATATCAAACAAAAAATAGTTCATATCTCTAATCAGTTACAAGATAAGTTTGGTAGATGCAGTGGTGTCCCTAGGCATGTGCGGGGAGTGCACGCCACACCGGTGACACCTATCGAAGGGGGTGACACCAGACCTGCTCCACGAATAGGTAAGTTTTAAAGCAAGCCGATGATCCCTGCAGGATGGATCGGATCTGTGGATTGAGCATAATGGATCGAAGTCTGATCCATTATGCTCCCCAACCCGCCTTGTGGGGATCGTCAGCTTGCTTTAAAACGTACCTTTTCGTGGAGCTTGTGGAGAGATCAGTTAACCCCGTATAGGTTGCAAGCCGACGATCCCCGCAGGATGGATCGGATCTGTGGATCGGGGAGCATAATGGATCGGTGGAGGGGTGACACCGAGTGTTACCGCACCAGGTGACACCGACACTAGGGACACCCTTGGGTAGATGTATTATTTTTAAACTCGATTGCTAGAGCTCTAACCATATCAGGGGAGCTGAAATTACTATGCTGCTAGATACAAGGCATACATCCCAACAGTTCTTTATTCTGTGGGACTGTACCGGATTTTGACACAAATCCAACAGATCTCAGCTTTGTCTGGCCACATCCCACTGCCTGGCCTTACTATTCTGCACAGTAGGTGCAGAGCAGGAGAAATAACAGATAATTAAACAGAAACTGGCTCTCAGTTTAGTAAAACTGTGCTCTGTCATTAAAATGTGTAACAAATCATATGTCCTGGAACTGCCTTGGGTCAGGATGTTCTGTAACTGTCCCAGGTTGTCTCTCATTCTCCAAAGTTCCACAATTAGTAGGTATGCCACTAGGGGAGAACTGATGCGTTTTTATTAATAATCAGCAAATCAGCACTATATCTGACCCTTGCATCTGTACAAGTAAACAATTCAAATAAAGGAACAAATAATTAGCACTAATTGAATCAAGATTGTCTATGAAATTGCAAACCTTGAACTTCGTGAAAGTTAAAAGCTGCATAGATGGAACCATGCTATATGAAAAACTGATAGCAAGCACCCAGGATAGCCATGGAGCTTTTCTAAAAGTCTGGAAGCCTTCTGCTCAATTAGACTTTGCCTTCATGAACTTGCTGTCAATTTAACACCATCATGCTTGGAACCCCAGGAGATGGAAATCTCCCACCCCCACTTTTTGTCTTCTATTTCTTATACTTTTCCTTTCTTCCCATCTCTACCTTTTGCCTCCCCCTTTCCTGCTTATCCTACTTTTTATCTCTTCCTCAATATACATCTTGCCTTTTCCCTACAACTAAAGAAACATTACTCAACCTTACAAAATACCTCCTCCGACCTCTTGTTCACCATCATGGGTTCTTAAAACAAAACTAAACCCTCCTTTCCTCCACAGCCCTGGAAGCTGCCGTCTTAGCCTCTGTCTAATCTGCAGTTGCTATGGTGCTGCTCATGTGACCAGTTATGACAGCAGCCATTTGATGACTTGACGGTTCAGTTGAAAGCACAAGGAACTGTGAAAGTTAGCATTTACTGCATGCTTTCCAATGTATTGTTTTGGGAAACAGCTAAATTGATGGGTTTTGCTCCATTTTATTTACAACTGTTATACACATCCACCACTTATTTCTGCTTGAGTGTAGGTCTGTTAGCTGCTTTCCAAATGATCAAACAGCCAATATTTTGGAATATATGCTATATTGCCCAAAGTACTGGGACACCCCTCCAAATTATTGGATTCAGGTGTTCCAATCACCTCCATGGCCACAGGTGTATAAAATCAAGCAGCTAGGCATGCAGACTGCTTTTACAAACATTTGTGAAAGAATGGGCCACTCTCAGGAGCGCAGTGAATTCAAGCGTGGTACCGTGATAGGTTGTCACCTGTGCAATAAGTCCATCCATGAGTTTTCCTTGCTACCAAAAATTCTACAGTCAGCCGTTAGTGGTATTACAACAAAGTGGAAGCAATTGGGAACAACAGCAACTCAGCCAAGAAGTGGTAGGCCATGTAAAATGACAAAGCGGGGTCAGCAAATTCTGAAGCGCACAGTGTGCAGAAGTCGCCAACTGTCTGCAGAGTCAATAGCTAAAGACCTCCAAACTTCATGTGGCTTTCAGGTTAGCACAACAGTGCGTAGGGAGCTTCACAGAATGGGTTTCCATGGCCGAGCAGCTGCATCCAAGCCTTACATCCCCAAGGTGTCAGCATACCAAGATATTTTGGACAATTTCATGCTCCCAACTTTTTGGGAACAGTTTGGGGATGGCCCCTTCCTATTCCAAAATGACTGCGCACCAGTGCACAAAGCAAGGTCCATAAAGACTTGGATGAGCGCGTTTGGGGTGGAGGAGCCTTGACCTCAACCTGTTAGAACACCTTTGGGATGAATTAGAGCAGAGAATGCGAGCCAGACCTTCTCGTCCGACATCAGTGCCTGACCTCACAAATGTGCTTCTGGTAGAATGGTCAAACATTCCCATAGACACACTCCTAAACCTTCTAACTGCAAAGGGTGGGCCAACTCAATATTGAACCCTATGGATTAGGCGGCCCAATACTTTTGGCATTTTAGCGTATGTTATCATAATTGCTCTTCACATTTAAAGTGGTTGTGAAGGCTCAATGTTCTTTTTACTTTCATGCATTCTATGCATGACGGTAAAAAACCTTCTGTGTGCAGCAATCCCCCCAGCTCTCTCCCCCCCAATAGCGGAGTACCATTGCAATGGAGCGCGAGAACCTGGGCGGCCTCTTTTCCTTCATTGGCTGAGACAGCAGTGGGAGCCATTGGCTCCCATTGCTTTCAATCACAGCCAGTGAGCCAATGACGAGACAGAGGGTGTGGGGCTGAGCCGCAGCTCCATGTGTGAATGGGCACCCGGAGCAGTGGCAAGGGAGTGCACCTGCTCAGGTGCCCCATAGCAAGCTTGCTATGGGGGGACCCGACAAAGGGAGAAGCCAGGAGCACTGGTTGGGGACCAGAGAAGGAGGATCCGGGCTGTTCTGTGCAAAACCACTGCACAGAGCAGGTAAGTGTCACACATTTGTTAGTTAAAAGAACCTTTATTATCGCTTTAAAGTAACATGAAAGTCAAAAAGTAGAAAAAAAAAATTAAAACATTAACACTTACTTGCTCTGTGCAATGATTTACACAGAAATGTTGCTTTCCTCTGCTTCTCGCAGTCCCAAAGGGCACAGTAGGCTTCTCCCCTCCTGCAGGTGCCTCCTTTAGCAAGCTGGGTGCTAAGTAGGCACATGCGTGTGCACATTTCCATCAGGTCCCACGCCAAGCTGTGAGCATTCATAGATATACACAACACTGGTAAGCCATGTCCCTGCTCCCTTTACACAGGAGTTTGATTGACAGCAGGAGCCTATGGCTACACAGCCCTTGGTTTCTCCTGTGAAACCAAGAAGTGGGGGGGGGGGGGGGGCACTGGAGCAGGAGACAGCACTGGAAAAGTTACATAGAACCAGGCAAATGTTGAGGGATGGTGGATACAAGGTGGTAGGATATGTAGTTAGGTTCAGGATTACAGAAACAGAACACATGGGCACACAAACAAAACTCTGAAGCACTGTGGAATTGCTAGAGGTGGGGCTGAATACCCTCCCAGTAGCCAGCATCAGGTGGGGACTATCTACCAGCTACTGGAAGACACCTGTAGTGGACACAATGCTCACCAAGTAATGAAGAAATGGATATCCACAATACAAGTCATATGAAGTGTCTGCATTTCTTTCCTGGCAGGTAGCTTTTGTGCTTGTGAGCATTTGATTTAACATTGTTGTTGTGTCTCATTTTAAACAACTTGATTTCAACAGAGGCAATAGTTGAAAAGGGGTTAAATCTAATGCTCAGAAGCAATACAATTCCCATGTGCACTTGTGCTCTAAATGGGATTAAAAAAAAAAAAGCCTTGATTGATATGACAAAAGGTTTCCCTTTTTTGCTTGTTTTTTAGGTGTGTCAAAATTCAGGCAAATATACAGTAAATATATGTCTTGTAAGACTTTTTCATGCTTTTTTTTTTTCTTGTGCTTGTTCTTACAAAGAAATTATGATTTACAGAACAAACTGTAATACAGCAGAATGTTGCTCTTCGTGGGGATTAAGAACATAGCAACAGAAGAGGTTGAGTAAAATGACATTGGAGAGCGGGACAGAAAAGCCTGGGAAAAACAGCGGCTGGAAAATTCTGATTTCAGTTTTCTGGCTCCTCTACAATGCTCTGCCTTTGGCAGCTCTTTTGTTTAAACCTCTAATGGGGCCATTTCCAACTCAGTCTGTTTCACCTTAAACTGCAGACTCAATTTAAGGTGCAACGTCAGCCTACCACCGGGCATTTAAATCAGCTGCTGTAGAGCAAGTTTCCAAGTGAACTTCAGTAACAGCAGCGGCGTCTTAAAAGCCGAATTTCAGGACTGCATAGACTGGAAGTAAACAGCATTGACAGAAAAAAATATTCCAGTATGCCAGCAGTGAAAACATTATCATGCACATAAATCCAGTATATTGCAGAAGGAGGAAAGAGCTTATAACCTGCAGAACCTATTTAGATACTAAATTAAAAAAAGCTACAACTAGGACTTGCCCCTCAAAATGTAATCTTAGACAGAGGAGCGAGTACATCCCAGAGAGAGCCATAAAAAAGAAAAAGATTTCTACCACCATTCAGTTCATGTCTTAAAGTTGAACTATAGGAAAAATAACTTTTTCATTTTGGATAGAGTAGGGGAGGATTATAACCCCTATCTGTAGATTTACCACCTATACCTATTCTGGTAAAAAACACTTTAAAAAAGAACATTTGCATTTCAGTTCTGATTTAATTTTGGATAGCGTACGTAAGGGTTATAAACACCTGTCAAGTTTTTTTTTTGTGTCCCATTGGGGAGATTTCCCTTCACTTCCTGTCCCATAGCCAAGAGAGGAAATCCCTGAAAATTAAGGAAATTCCCTTGGAGACCCCCAGGTCACCGGAACTAGTGTCCCCATTGGAAGATTTCCCCTCTATTACTTTTCACAGATGGCAAAAAATAAATCTTACAGGGTTTGTAACCCTCCCTTACTCTACCCAAAATTAAAATAAACGTTTTGCCTATAGTTCTACTTTAAAGGATAAGTTCACTTTCGGGAATATGTTACATGTCCCACTCGTTTTAAGGGGGAGGGGACATTAACATGTTCCTGCTCCTGCAGCAGCTCAGCGATCTGAGCACTGTGCATGACAGTAGTATGGGGAGCAGTTCCCTGTACCAGCTGTCACTTTTGAAAATAGCGCCATGCAGGAGTCCTGCCGATCACTGGTATAATGCTTTGTAGGCTCAAAAAAAGGTAAAAGCACATTTTTTTTTACCTGCAAAAAATATGCATTATGTTTTTTTTTAAAAGATGAACTTATCCTTTAAAGTGGTTCTAAGGGCTGAAGTTTTTCACCTGTATATATCCTATGCATGAAAATACAACAAACCTTCACTGTGCAACCCCCCCCCCCCCCCATACTCACCTGAGCCTGATCCAGTGATGTGCATGAGAGTGGAAGCTCTCCTGGGTCTCTCCCTCCTCATTGGCTGAGACAAAGCAGCAGGGGCCATTGGCTGTCAATCACATTCAGTAAGGAGGGAGTAGAGGCGGGGCTGAGCAGCGCTCTGTGCGTCTCAGACACACAGAGGCAGCTCAGGAGCGAGCACGCAGGAGTGCCCCCAGAGCAAGCACTCAACAGGGGGGAGGAACCTGGAGCGCTGACAAGGAACCCGAGGAGGATCGGGGCTGCCCTGTGCAAAACCATTGCACAGAGCAGGTGTGTCTAACATGTTTGTCATTTAAGAAAAAAAAATCTGAACATTTACAATCATTTTATATTGTTGTTGGCTTATGTTTTACCATTTAAATTTGCATCATGGTTCTCTGCACTCCTGCCATCTTGTACCACTCTGTAACAGCCAATGCTAATTCTCATTTTCTAGTAGTAGATTTGAGCATAATTAAAATGGTTTTGTTTAATTGGCACAAGATGATTGTATTTCATTTTTGTAATGAGTGGCCATTACATTTTGCATGAAAAGGGGTTCTTTGTTAAGATTGTTTACTTTATTCAAACTTTGTGTATTTTGTATATGTAGGAGACAATCACATTTCAATAAAATAAAGTACCTATATTAATTGCATTCAAATATGTGTTTAAGTGAATATTTCTGGGGAGGGGGTTCATAGATTTCATCAGATTCATAGAGCAGTCTGTGACTCAAAAAAAGGTTAAGAGACACAGCTTTAACCACTTCCAGTCCGGACACTTTCACCCCCTTCCTGCCCAGGCCAATTTTCAGCTTTCAGCGGTATCACACTTTGAATGACAATTGCGCATCATGCAAAATCAAACCCATATGAATTTTTTTAGCATTTTTTTGACACAGATAAACCTTTATTTTGGTGGTATTTATTCACCACAGGGATTTTTATTTTTTTTCTCTATATAAATAAAAAAGTCCAAACATTTTGAAAAAAAAAAAGTGTTTTTATAAAATTTTGCAAATAAATAATCTTTCTTCATAAATCTGGGCCAAAATGTATTTATCTAGCTTTTTAGTAAAAATAACCCAAATTTGTTTATAACTTATGTATAATTTTTAAAAACAATTTTATTACATTATTTTATTTTTGTATATTATTTGTTTTTTTTACATACTGTCACCCTAGCAGTACAGTGTCACCATAGTGACACTGTACTACTTGTGGGGGGTGATGAAGTTTTTTTTTTTCTTTTTTACAGATTGCTTTTACACCCATAAAGGCTGTAAAAGCAATCATTTCTCCTCTGTGGCTGCATTCTTGCAGCCATTGAGAAATACTGTGAGAGTTGTGATTGGTCACAGCTTGTCACATGGTACAAGGCTGTTGTGAATAGCCTTGTGCCATGTGACCTCTGTGATCATTCACAGATTTCACACGTAGTAAGCAATGATGTCAGGAAGTGACATCTTGTTTACTACTATTCATGTGATTGGTAAATCAGGGATCACATGAATCGGGACCTCACACAAAGGTCCCATACAGCGATCGGTGTTCCACTGTGTCTGAAGGACACCGATCGCTCCCAGGGAGCACACACAGGCAAAGGATGCGGGGGGACGTTTAGAAACTTCTACCCGCACCGGCAGCGCTCCCGTCTGGCCTTTTATGTACATGGGCCAGACGGGAAGTGGTTAAAG